ATTAATAAGGCTCTGGTAAGGGTCTGATTATTTTTCTCTAACATTAATCGGGCCCTAGGATAGAAAGACAAGGACCCTGCAAGATGTGTAACATATGGTTTAATGGGTTTTTATAAACCAATATTATAAGAGTCTTATTGAGGCAGTATTAATAGGGCCTTATAAGGAAATATTTTTATTATTGCTTGAGTAAAAATATTCGTTCTCTTCATTCCAAGAAATTTCTTAGTCTGTAATTTCTTTATCTCTTTATTACCTTGTTAGTATACAACAAGAATTTTTTATTTTAAAGATAAGCACACTTTACAATAAAATATAGCATTCTTTACACATAAAGATCCTGCTACTGTTTTTATTAAAGTTTGCTGCATTTCAAAACGAAAGCAATACCAGAAAAATTCTTGCAAGAGACTAATAAATATGGCAACTAATAAAACTAATAAAATTTGTTTTTAATTGCGGTATAATCAAAAAATCTTTAAAAGAACCAGATAGAGAGCGTATCTACTAAAACAACACTAAAGTAAATTATGACAATTTTATTACTCGCTTCAGATCTTATTAATTTTCTGTAACAAAATTTGATTTTGCATATCTAAAGCATCCTCTTAAAAGATTCTTCTAAGGCCCACATCAGTTTTCCATGTTAAAACGTTATTTTGTAAAATCTAAGGCATCCCTAATAAATCCTTCTAAGGCTCTCATCAGTTTTCCTTATCAAAGCCTTATTTCGTAAAATTTAGGGTATCCTTAAAAGACCTATTTCGGGATCTGATATGATAATAATAAGGCATCCTTTTTTAGGGCATTCTACTTACAGCTCTATCGGGGCCTTATGCTTCATGAAGATGGCCTTAACAATTTTTTGCCTGGCATGCGTCGCGCAGTTAAAAGACGTTCGGTAAATTTTTACCTATCTCCCTTTTTGAGTCGAGTAGATCGGTGATATATTTCTGCGCATTCTTTTCTCGTTGGTATTTTTGTTTCGAAAAATTTCGGGCAAATTTTCGCCGCGTTTGGCTTTCGATTTAGCAGATCACCTCCGCCGGCATCGTGATAAGCTATCACTCGTAGAAAGATGCAGCGCGAATTAGAGCACCTTAATCTGTTATATCAATGAAGGTGTTACGTCGAGATAAGAGCTGTTAGTATGTCATTGATTGTGAACCAAACGAAGTAAATGCTACCCGATAAGATTAAAGTTTCTTTCTTCAACTACAGCAGCTACACGCACACCGACGTAGGACCCACTTATTCTCCGTTGAGAGAAACAGCCGGTACTGCGATCGCTCGATGCTAGACTGCTGAACATCGATATAATGCCCGCTACTCGACGCAACGCGTTTTATCTCGCGCGATAATTTCTCGACAGTTTTCGCAGGGACGAATTTCTCCAAGGTATAAGATTCACTTCGAGTTAAATATAGCCCCGAAGTTTAATCATTCACGTGCACACAGGAGGGAGGCATTCCGAATGTGCATCGGATTGCAACTGTACATTCGACTCTCCGTTCAACGTTCCAAGTTCCCATTTCAACTTACAGCGCAGAACGTGCTTCGGGGTACTTGCTGCTTGCTCGCTTAGTTAACCGTTAATTAAGTTACTCTATCTCATAAAACTACCCCAACTGTACTCCTCGGAACGAGGTGTTTACTCGCCCTCCCGCGCTCCTCCTCCCGTAGCTGCGTGCGAACGGTCCGAGCGCGGTAATACGCGCGCGCGCGCGCGAGAGAGAGAGAGAGAGAGATCACCGGATTCTCGCGAATCTGTCAGGCGGGCCGCCGTCGGCTGCGACGGAGCGTCGAGTTCGATTCCGGATGCGAGCGATGTCCGTAATCCGAAACGTAACACGGACAGAACTCTGGGATTGAGTTAGCGTATTATATACGTGGGAACGCGGTCGCCTCGCGGCCGGCCTCGGGGTTGTTTTCCTTGGAGGCGTGCTCGCCGATCGCCCATCGCGTGGGGTAGGTTTTTCCATGGAGCATCGCTCCGGACGCGGAGGGAGAAAGGGGGGAGGGGGGAGAGAGAGAGCGAGGTGGTGCTCACTTCTACGCCGCCACGTGACTCTTCGCGGCGCGCAGCGTGGCGCAGCTCGACTGTTTGCCGAGAGAGCGTGTAATCACATGCGCTTCTCTCTTTCTCTCTCCTCTCACAATAGACCTCCCCCACGCTCGTTGTTGCCGCCGGGTCTTTGCGCGATCGGAGATTAAGTGGTCTGTGATGGGAACTAAATGGCGTTTAGGCCGCGTTTATGTAACCTTACGATTATGTCGCCGGCACACGGCAGGGTGAGACGACGCGGAGATCTGACGGGGAGGAGATCAGGGGGGCGGAGATGGTCCTGGAGAGACCAGTGTTTTCCACGTTTTTCGGCCTTCCCTCCCCCTCGCCCGCCCTGCGCCGCGCGTTTTAATCCCGACGTGTGTTTAGACGCGGCCCGGATTGACTTTGACTCGCGAAAGATCGCGCAATCACGGATTCGCGGGGAATTAATGGATTACTCTCACCCGCGCATTGTTTTCATTCGGCGGCGGCGAGCCCGACGCCGAAACGAAACGTAATGTAAACCGTTGTTGTTGGCCGTTCGTTTCGCGAGGCCCGCGCGAGCGAACGAGTCGCATTGAAATCGCGGATATTGCGGTTTTCACGATCAACGGTCGTGCGTTGCGACTGCGGGCGTCCGCGAGCGAAACTGCCTCGTTTCTCATTCGCCCGCGTTCGAATGCGTTCGGGGCTGTTTTTTTACGACTCAGCTTCCGTTCATGCCGGCGTAATCTCAATTGACGAGCGAATCCAAACAGAGCCGCACGTGATCACGCGTGGTACTTTCGGCGAGGACAAAGAAGGAAAGCATCGGCGGCCCAGCGACGAATGAACGAAAGATTTCCACAAGTTTTTGTTCGATGCCATGTGACTTATTCTCTGTGTGTCATCAAATCCTTTCGTTTTCAACTCACCCGAGTCTCCTTGAAGCGACTCAAAATACCTGCGAAGGTACACGATCTAAGCGTGCGGGGACGGCTTGCTCTTGTCGAGGGTCGACGCGGTCTCCGTTTGCGCACGCAACGTAGCGCTTTTCCGAGTAGAACTTAATAAGACTCTCTGGTAAGGGCCTAATTATTTTTCCCTAACAGTAATTGGGCCCTAGTAGGGATAGAAACACAAGGGCCCTACGAGATGTGTAACAAATGATTTAACGGGACCTTATGAGGCAATATTACGAGGGCCTTATAAAGAAATATCAACAATGGTTTCATGAGGCAATATTAAGAAGGCGTCATAGGATATGGATATTAAGATATGGGAGTTAAGATTCATTCTAAGTTTGAGTGAGACATTCACTTTTGCAATTGCGAGTCGAAATATTTTTATTATTGCTTGACTAAAAATATTCCTTCTTTTCATTCCAAGAAATTTAGACTGTAATTTCTTTATCTCTTTATAACCTTGTTAATATATAACAAGAATTTTTTATTTTAAAAATATAGCATACTTTACAATAAAATATAGCATTCTTTACACATAAAGATCCTGCTACTGTTTTTATTAAAGTTTGCTGCATTTCAAAACGAAGGCAATACCAGAAAAATTCTTGCAAGAGACTAATAAATATACTAATAAACTAATAAAACTAATAAAATTTGTTTTTAATTGCGGTATAATTAAAAAATCTTTAAAAGAACCAGATGGAGAGCGTACCTACTAAAACAACACACTAAACTATGACTAAATTATGACAATTTTATCAGACGCTTCAGGTCTTATTAATTTTCTATAATAAAACTTGATTTTGTATATCTAAAGCACCCTTAAAAGATCCTTTTAAAGCTCACATCAGTTTCCCATGTTAAAGCGTAAAATCTAAGGCATCTCTAAAAAATTCTTCTACGGCTCTTCTCAGCTTTTACTGTCAAAGTTTTGTTTCGTAAAATCTAAGATATCTCTAAAAGATCCATCTCGGGACCCGATGTGACAATAATGAGGTATCCCTTTTCAGGGCTTCCTACTTTCAGCCTTATCGAGGCCTTATGCTTCGTGAGAATGGCCCCAACAATTTTTTGCTCGAGTTGTATAGAGTCTGAATCGTCCACTCACCATTTCGTGCGACGTCCCGCGACGTTCGGCCGTTTCAGGTCCATCGGCGAAATCCACCGGCGAAATCCCTCTCGACAGCCAACTTCCGCAGCGTCCAACCGTCGTCCCACGGCCATCTCGATTCACTGCGCCGCATTGCGCTGTGCTCCGGTCGCGATAACTCTAAAGGCGCCTGACGACTTGCCTAGAAGTAAATCCCAGTGCTTGGGAATATGCGAGCCAATCGTGAGTCGCGATTTCGGACTGGACGATCGTGGAGAAGCAATCGCGCGCGCGCGCGCGCTCGGCTCGGCTCGGCTCGGCCTGCCGCACGCTCGCGAAAGTGCGCGAAATGTCTCGAAGTTGGCTCGTAATAGCGCCGAGTAAATGATTTATTTATGGTCCCCGGAGAGCGCGAGGAGAGAGCGTCGCGGCGGCTTTTGAAATGTTACTGACACAATGCCCCATAAAGAAGTTACGGCGCCTGCAGCCGAGATACGAGAGCGGAGAGCGCTCTCTCAGACCGCCCGCGATGAAATCTCGGAGTCGTAACGGCAAACTCATGGCCGAACGTTGGATTTCACGCGACGTCTCTTGTGATACATGTAAGAAAAAAAAAAAGAAAAACGAGAAATCTCGTCAGACGTATGCGCGCGAGTTTACGGAGAGGCGAAGTGCAAACATTTAATCGGATCATTTCTCGAAATTTTGTCATTATTATTTTGTTATTTAAACACGACGGGGGAGAGGGGTTTGTAACGTCGAATTATCCTGAATCACTCGACACTCGATTTCCTCTTCCTTTTACGAAAAAGCCTTGGTCTTACGTCACGATTTACGTTTATTGCTTTAAATAGCTTTAAGGGGAGGATATTTGATTCGACGATCCAATTTGTTTACATTTTGTTTCCTTTTGTTTTAGAACGAGGGATCAAAACACCAAGCCGTTTTACTATCAAGGAAGAACGTGAGTGTTTTTTCGTTTTTCGTTTCACTTCCTTACGTTCTTATGGCTTCAGATGGTTATGATTTTTATTAGAACTCCAATCGTCGGCTCAATTACCGATGCCGATCAAACGCGGACTCGTGTACCGCATACGCACCGTCCCGATAGCAAAATCTAAACACGTCGGAACACTTTTGTCCCTTTTGTCAGCGAAAAATATCGAGGATGGCTCATGAGAAAGGAAAATGCGACTTGGACGCACTGATGAGAGTCGGGGCTGAAGGTAAACTCGGCGGGGAGAAGCTACCGGCGGGTTTGTAAGCGAGGAGGCTCGCATGATGGTATCAATTCTTCAAGTACTCCTCGTCCTAGTCTCTGTCGCGAAAAGGGTCGCAAAACACCGCGAGACACTCGACTCTGTCCCATATGTTATCCAGGAGCGCATTCAACTTGGCTCCGCGCGCGACAGTTGGTCGCGCAGGACACTATCGTCGATTAGAAGCTACATCACGAGAGAGAGAGAGAGAGAGAGAGAGAGAGAGAGCTTTATTGTCTATCGACGTCGATGTCGTCGTGCACTCGAAAGCGCGGCACTTACGTCGAATGCGGGTGATTATACGTGCGCGCTCGTTCTCGTTGGAAATATTTATTTGAAAGGCAGATCGCACATCTCGCCGACCTGGCGCGACTCCGGAGCTGCAACTTGAAAATGCACAGATCTCTCTTCCCCTCTCTCTCTCTCTCTCTCTCTCTCTCTCTCTCTCTCTCTCTCTCTCTCTCTCTCTCTCTCTCTCCCTCTCTCTCTCTCCCTCTCCCTCTTACGATTTCAGTCGTGGCGAACACCGGAGAATATTTTCGTTGAAAAATATCCCAGCGGGGGAGGGGGGGAAAGGTATGCCTGGTGCGGGAGGTGTTCGTCATAGAAAAGTAGAGGAAAGTAACAATCGCCCCTCTCCCTCCCTCCCTCTTCCTCTCTCTCTCTCCCTCTCTCTCTCTCTCTCTCTCTCTTTTACAATTTCAGTCGTGGCGAACATCGGGGAATATTTTCGTTGAAAAATATCTCGGCGGGAGGAGGGGGGGGGGGAGAGGTGTGCCTGGTGCGGGAGGTGTCCGTCATAGAAAAGTAGAGAAAAGTAACAGTCGCTTCTCTCCCTCCCTTTCTCTCTCTCTCTCTCTCTCTCTCTCTCTCTCTCTCTCAGCCAAGTAATCCTTCATCCCGCGGAAAAACACGCGCGTGTCGCCCTCGGTATATCGGGTGAGTACATACTCATCGGAGCACATGGCGTGGCCAGCGAGCGGGGCACCAGTTGTCCCGACACGTTCCTGGCACGTGCTGGTCACGTGGCCATGCTGACGAGTGGATTGTTCATTCCGACGTCTCGTGTGCGCCTAAGCACGAGGATCGTGCCTTCCCGCTGGGTTTGTTGCCGATTTCCGTGGGCTGCCCGTTAATTGGAAATAATCGATCGCGATGGCTCCGCGGCGGGCTTAACAGTTTGCTTGAACAAACGACGTTGTATATTTCCCTTTGAGGAGAGACTTCTTTCGAGGAGAAGAGATCGGCCGGGAGGAGAGAGCTTTCATCAAGGACGTACGATTTTGGTTACTGGGTGACACGATTTCTCTTCGATACGACTCTGGAATACACATTTGACCTTCATGCCGTGCAGAAAACTACGCGTACGCCGGAGTAGGTGTACTCCTCAATTGCATCGCAAGACTGTCCAACTTATGCAGACAAATTACGCAGGCAGTCGGTATAAGAGTGCTTACGTCGAATCGATAATGCGTAGGTACCGACGTCCACGGCTCCATTAGGATAATTGTGCCCTCGCACCGTTTCTCTTCCCGTATCCGTAGCTATCTCCCGATCTATCTATCTATTTTCGCGCCGTTAGCCCTCGTAGCCGACTTTCTTCGGCAACCCCAGGGCCGCGTATTACGCGAGGGAAAATAGTCGGCGGGGTAATAGTGTGCAGGACCGAGATTAAAACGCCCGCGGGATTATCGACATTGTTGACAAATCGAGCTCCGTTACGTATCGCGATGCTGATTCTCGATATGTTGTTTCCCTTAGAAGCCTTCCTCCTTTTGTTCGAGAGTCTATCTCCCGTCCCGAAAGTCCTTTACGCTCGAACCCTTTTCTCGTTTGAGGATCTCTGTTCTCGATACTTCAGTCACAGATGACAAACGCCGGATAAACGAAGTAAATTCCTAGCTCGGCCTTTGCCCAGCTGGCTCCTTTGGATCTTGCCGCGGTTGCTTAGATCGGCGAGCGAAAAGATCGAATATATGGCCGACGAGTTTCTCCCTCTTCGGCAAAAGTCAGTCGTAACCGCCATCAGACGCGCCGTGTAACGATTTGCTCACGGCGCATAATCGCGCGGCAGCTCATGAACGAGCGGTACGGCGCACAGTGGTGCCAAAACACAGTTTCGGAAAAAATTATGTAACTTTTCAATTTAAGCAGATAGAATTATGATTTTTTTTTTAATTTAAAGATAATAATTTATCAATTAAAATGTATTGTTTTTATTTTTTTTATTTTTTTTATGTATATTTATTATTGAAATATATTTATTATATATATTATATATTATATATATATATATATAAATAAAAAAATTTTTTAATCTATCTCAATCAGCTTTTTCGTCTTCCAGAAGAGATTTCGCATCCTCATTTCATGGCAAAATATCTTTTGCTGATTCCTTTCGTAAACTAAATATGTATGGATCAGATGAGATTAATAATTGATGCAGTACGTCTTCATTTGTAATTAAGTGACTAATTTTTCTTGAATGATATTAGTCTATGTGTATGTACAAGTCTACAATTCAAGCATAACATCTCCGAATAAAAATTCGAATTTCTTTCAGTTGCGCAAATATGCGCAAATATGCGCAGCTAGATGTCGATGTTTCTTTAAATTAGAAAGATCACCTTCTTCTATTTTAGACAAACACTTCATTTTGGGAAGGTTTGGGTAATGCAAGGAAATGCTTCGTCCGATTTATATTTTCTTTTTTTTTTAAAAAGACATTTTTTTAAGCAATATTTCTGCAGAAATATAATCAGTAAAAATTTATTTCTTGTTTTCTAAGGAAGATTCAAAGTTAATTTGAATTTTTATAATAAGTATAATTATGATTTACTGATCAAAAAATATAAAAACATAATCAAAATCAAATACTACAAATACTTACTACGATATTTGAAGCTTCGCCGATTGAAAATATTATTAAGGGGAAAACCAAGAGAAAAAAATCATTTGGTATCGATATATTAGATCTTCAAACATTATTTTTGCAGTACAATTAAATAAAAATTTGAAAGTTGACAAAATCAATGTTTTCCGTCTCAGCCACCACTGTGCACCGTGATAGAGCAGCGATCGATCACGGTCATTGCTTCGCGGTTTTGTCAACGCCTATTGTAGACGAAACAGTCGCGCGGGACAATACTGGGCATGGCATGGCTACCTGCGCTTTCAGCGGGATCCCACACGATCGTCCGTGGCACGCATTGCAAATCGCGCGTAGATTTATGGCCGACGCGAAATCGCGCCGTTCCGTAGCCCAGTTCCCATGCTCTCGTCACGTAATCGCCCATGAATGGCCGCTTATCCGCGAGCGAAGTAAACCGCTGCCGACAGGCCTCTCGACAGCGACAGCGACAGCGGCGAAGGCGAGGCGCGCGCGCGCGTCCATCCGAACGCACGATTTTGGCGATTCGAACGCGCGGATATGAAAGCTCGCGGCTTCGAAAATGACACGGGAGTTACTGCACGGCGGGCGGATCGATGCAGCGCCAGCGGACGCGATATTGTTTCGCATTTGCCCGACACTGTCTCTTTGTCTCGCTCCTCGATCGCCGCGCGCGTCTCTGGAGTTATCGCACGCGCGCGCGCCCGTCCGTTTCTCATGGCGCGGCGCCGCTCTCTCTCTCTCTCTCTCTCTCTCCGCCCGGCGCGCTTGATTATTTCGGCGGAAAAAGAACCGCCCATGCTTTTACCGCGTAGTGAATAGAGCGCAGCGGAGGCGCTAAATACGGACAAAACCGTGACATCCGGTGTGCACGAGCCGACACGTGACCTTCTCAATGCTCTTACGCCAAGTGCTCGTCGAGGCAGCTCGAGCGCCATTCAAAACATCGTTATCACGTGTAACGCGCTTTACCGCCGCCTTTTTCCCCCCTCGCCCTTCCTCTCGCCACCTAGCCGCCTCCGTCGCCAGCTCGGACAACCAGCGCGTAAACGTGACTCCCCGCGAATCGCGGTATTCCCGACGTGCGTTTAAATATGCGATGCAAATATGATCGGGCAAATAAACCGTTCAATTATTATGCGGGCGATAAAGAATTCTGGCGGAACAAACGTTACGACAATAGCGAACACGCCGGACTCGCGTCCATGTTGTGCGTTGATTTAATTGTTTGCACCCTGGATTTTTCATTAGCCGCGCGTTAAAATTGGTTTTCTTGATTGGATTACTGTGAACAAGGAAGTATCTGAATATTTCAAACGAGAGAGAAAAGAGACGTTTAAGGTACCTCGGTTACATCAAGCATGAAATTTATATTTTTCCGTCGCGTGTATCGCGCGTTAATCATTTTACTAATTAATTAATTTCGCGGCCTGTGTGCCATTAATATTTTATCGCGGGCACGAGATATATTGTTACAGTCGGTTTATCAAAATATCATGAAAATAACCCGCGGGCATTTAAAATTCGATCACCGCCCGCATATTTCAATTAGACCTATAAGCGAGCACCCTCCATCGCACGTATCGTTTACCGCCCCGTGGAAACGTTCATGTCAGAATTTGTAACATAATAAGCGGCCTGCGCACGTTTGAGAATTGTCGGTCGTGCTTTTAAAACGGTCAGAGTCTCATCGACGTGGCGTGGTGCGATGATTCACGCGAGAGCGACCGAGAAGGGTATCTTCAGCCGGCCGAGTTCAACAGACGGAAAGACCGGTAACAATAAAAAGTCCGGAATGCGCAGCGTCTCTCTGAA